ATTCATGGAGGTTAAGTCCATTAATGGCTATTAGCCAGGACGGGTAAGGAATGGTGTCCCTAGCCTCTGTTTGTCAGAGGGTGGAGATGGATGGCAGGAGAGAGATCACTTGATCATTACCTGTTAAGTTCACTCCCTCTGGGGCACCTGGCATTGGCCACTGTCGGTAGACAGGATACTGGGCTAGATGGACCTTTGGTCTGACCCAGTTCAGCCGTGCTTATGTTCTTATGTTATGGGGGACTCTATCCTGGGAAGCAGCGACTCTGAAAAAGACTTGGAGATCATCTTGGACTATCAGCTGAACGTGAGCTGCCAATGTGCCAAAAGGGCTAATGTGATCGTTGGATGTATAAACAGGGGAACCTTGAGGAGGAGCAGAGAGGTTATTTCACCACTGTGTTTGGCACTGATGTGGCCGCTGCTGGAATCCCGTGTCCAGTTCTGGTGCCCACAGTTCAAGAGGGCGTAGAAACATTGGAGAGATTCAAAGAAGAGCTGCTAGAATGACGAAAGGATTGGAAAACCTGCCTTACCGTGAGACTTAAGGAGCTCTGTCTATTTAGCTTAGCAAAGAGAAGGTGAAGGGGTGACTTGAGCATAGTTTCTATGGACCTGCTTCGAAGCAGATATTTACTAATGGGCTCTTCAGTCTAGCAGGCAAAGGTCTAACAAGATCCAATCTTTGGAATTTGGAGCCAGACAAATTCAGACTGGAAATAAGGCACCAATTTTTAACAGCCAACGATTGTGGCAGATTCCTCAAAACTGGCAATTTTTAAACCAAGCCACTCTCTGAACTGTTTTGTAATGTATTGGGGGAGAACTTGTCTGTCCTCGGCCCGTGTGTGGAAGTGTTTTTAGCCCACCTAGTCAGTAAACAGGAGGCATGTGAGGACCCGACCCTTGAGCCCCCGGACGCAGGGAGGCCAGACCAGTCCAGAAATGGGTTGCCAGTGCCATATGGAAGCTGGCTGCCCCAGAGTGCTGCAAGTCGGTGGCTGGTCAGTTTGGTGGTGACAAGCCAACTGTCGGTGTTGTGGTGATGGAAAGTTGGGAGGTGATTATTCCTGTGGTTTGTCCCCGGGTGGTGGCAATTACTAAGGCCCCCGAAATAGTGGCTGGCTTTGAGCCAGTGGCCTTCCCGAGTCATGTAGGGCCGACGTAGTCAATTATTTTTTATCAAGGTCCAAATTTCTTGGTAAAGGTATAGTCAAGGTCCACACTCAAGAGAAAATTTCAAACAATAACAACAATAATAATGATAATAAGTAAGTAGAAAGATTTCAGGGTCCATTCAAAAGCGTCTGGCGGTCTGGATTTGGCCCGCGGTCCACCTGTTGACTAACCCTGGTATAGGAGCCTTTGCTGGCACTCCTGTTCCCAAGACTCTAGTACACATTCACAGTGCCAGTCTCTCTGGTGGGGGGAGACCGGTCCCGATCTCTCTGGTGGGAGGGGAGGAGGGAGACGGCCCGCCTGGTTCTGGTCTCTTTGGTGGAAGGGAAGGGGGGAGATATCCTGGCCAGTTCTGGTCTCTTTGGTGGGAGGGAACGGGGGAGACGTCCCGGCTGGTTCTGGGGTCTCTGGTGGGAGGGAAGTGGGGAGACACCCCGGCCAGGCCTGGTCTGTCTGGTGGGAGGGTGTGACGAAGTGGGAATGTTCTTAATGTTTTGTTTGAATAGTGTGAATGCCTCAGTTTCCCCTGTGTGTTACTCAAGTATCTAGGTGGTAGGACAAGGGCGTGTGATCGTTACAGAGACCCTTAGCGGGCAGGTGTGACCGCTGAGTTTCTGTGCTAACGAGCTCTGCTCTACGCTGTGTCCCTGCCACTAATAACCCGTCGGTGTGACCCACTGGCTGGGGTCACTGCTGACTGCGGGGGTGGGGTGCACGGGGGGGGGTGAGGCGTCCCCAGGTGTCCCATCCAGGGGGACTCCCTGCGGGGAGCTCACGGCATGGAGCAGGGCGCTGAGCGCTCCGAGGTCAGACCCGGGAGGCTGCCCTAGGCAGAGTGAGCCCGGAGGGGGGTCATGCTACAGGAGGGTCCTGCCTGAACCTCATTCAGAGCAGCGCTGGAGCCCCGAACCTGTGCACCGTGACAGAGGGGAGGGGGAAAAGTTTCTGGGGGGTGGGGGAGAGGTCCTGGCCAGTCTCTGTCACGTGGGGCTGGCCCTTGGAGATGAGGAAGAAGCAGCAATTGAAGCCACCAGAGACCAGCACAGCAGAAATGGGAGAAGCGGCTCCTCATGGGGCTTCAGCCCCTGGGAGCCCCCAGACCTGGCTCCCGGCTTCCCAGAAACATGGGCCACCATCTCCTCAGGCTGTCTCCTCCAGCCCTGCTGCAGCCGGGCCGGCTCTGGGAGGAGAGGCGGTGGCTTGGCGAGGACATACATGTGTCATGTGACAATGGGGAGGGGGGGACCCCTCGGGACACAATGCATGCGTAAAGCAGGAGCCCGCTGAGGAGGAAATTGGGAACGTAGCGCGTGCAACCTGGGCCCCGTCCCCAGGAAAATACTGGGTGCACCCCGGCCTCATTCTGCGTCAGGTGCTTTGAACGTTCCTAGGCACATGTGCTGCCCGCGACAGCCCGGAGCTTGGAGGGCGCCGTGCCCTGGAGCTGAACTTCCCCGGCCCGGGACTCCTCGGAGGGGCTGGCGAATGCACGCTGGAAGTGGGGGCTGCTGGAGGCCAATGGCCCCCTGCACGGAAGGGGGCGCTGGTGTTACCAGATTGCTGTGCAGGGGCTGAGCCCAGGGAGGTCTCAGCACTACTCAAGGATGGGGGGTGATTCTCTCTTTGGGGGGGTGACTCAGCAGGGGTGGGTTCTGCGCCTTGTGGAGATAAAGTAGGGCAGGTTCACTTTTTTGGTGGCTTCAGAGTGAAACCACCCACACTTGCTGGTGGCTGCACCAACAGTTTTTCCTAAAAATATTTAATTCACTTTTGTAGATTCAATAATACAAATAATGCACAGCTGTCTCTATTCTTTCCTGGACCTACACAAAATAGAAACACAAATAAGGTGCTTTGCACATTCTTGTCTTTTTTGGTTGCTTGGTTTTTGTTTTTTTTTTAGACTTGCTGGCTAGTGAGTGTGTTGTGAAAAGTGATATTAACATCCTAGTATCACTTTTCAGAGCAGCAGACTGACTTAGCCCCGGCAAGCCCGGGGACACATTAAGCCCTGGATGGGGAGGTGGGTAGGGAGAGAGCGGGGTCCAGGAGAAATAGGAGGGCCGGAGGCTGGGGACGCCACGCGCCGCTGCCATCTCAAAAGCTCCAACCCCACCTGTGCTAACCGCCTGTCCTTGGCAGCCTCAGCGGAACGGCACAGTCGGGATTTCCCCTCTCTGCCCGGAGCTGGGCCCCCCAGGGCCGGCTGGTGAGGGGCACTGGCAGAGGTTGAGGCATGAGAAGTTTGATCTGCAATCAGTTCCACCCCCTGGCGGTGCGTCCATCCATGGGGCTGGTCCAGTCAAGCACCCCTCTCCTGCTCCCCGTGGCCTCTCCCGAGATGCTGTCCCAGGTCTTTTGAGCCTGCAGCCTCTGACCGGAGCTCAGACACTGCTGTCCCTGGGCACACGCTCGGGGCGCATAGCCTCTGTTCTGCACCCCATCCTGAGAGCTCTGACCATGCAGCTCCCTGCCCAGCCCCTAGAACTGTGGTCCCATAGGCGCCGGCTCCGTGGGTGCTCTGGGGCTGGAGCACCCATGGAAAAAAATTAAGGGATGACCAGTTATTGGCAGCCAGGAATCAGCTCAGATCAGCTGTTTCCCATCTCCCTGCTTCAGCAGGGGCTGAGTGAGTCTCACCCACGCCTTAGGGGGCGGGGCTCTCAGCCGCAGTGCTCACCTGGGGCTGCCCCACACCTGTGGGCTGGTGGCCATGGCGTCCACCTGTAGAGTTTCTCCCTGCCAGCCAGGCTCCGCTGCGGCCATAGCAGGCAGGGCTGGCTCTAGGCACCAGCAAATCAAGCACGCGCTTGGGGTGGCACAACGGCAGAGGCGGCATTCCAGGGGCGGCTCTCTGAGGTTTTGGAGGGTTTTTTGCTTCGGCAGTTTGCTCCCGGAGGGGTTTTTTTTGTTTTTGTTTTTCGCTTGGGGCGGCAAAAAAACTAGAACCGGCCTTGACAGCAGGCGACCCAAGGGAGCCCAGCTAGGCGAGGGCTGGTGCGTGAAGTGGCAGATTAGGAGGCCGGGAGACGAAAAGCCCCGACCCCGGCAGGAGTGGCGCTGGGCGGGTGGAGGAGGCGTCCCGGATCTGGGCAGGAACCGCGCTGGGCGGGGGCAGGGGGAGAGGAGCTACAGTGTCCCCCCTGTCCCCGTGTTCATGCCCCCCTCCCCCCAGAGCCAGGGCCAAGGCTCCTGGAGGAGGGGGGGAAACGGACAAAGACAGGTAGGTGTAAGGGCCTGAAGCTGGGGTTGCAGCTGGCGGTGGGTCTGGGTCCGGGTCCGTAGCTGCGCTGGTGCCTGGAGCCGCCCCCGGCTGGTGGGCTGGGCCTGCTGGTTCTCAGGGCATAGGGGCAGGAGCTGGTTTGGGGGAGACCAGGAAGGGATTGAACCCCAAAACTGAGGCCACGCTGTGCCCTCTGCAGGGCCCCCCACCAGCACTGAGCTCGTCACGCTAGGGGGCAGCACGGATGACTGTACAGCCGGGGGCTGGTTGGTGGGGTGGCCCCATGCCATGGGTGGTGTTTAAAAAATGCTCTTAGGGTGTGAAACCGGGGAACCCACACCTGTGCCAACACAATCTAGCAACCCCAACAGCCTCCACCTTTCCCCCCGTGACAGAGCAACTACCTCCTCCTCCCCTCGCCCAGCCTGCTGCCAGGCGCTGTGGGTCACATCACCCACCCGCAGGGCCCCTGGCACGGTGTCACAGGGGTGCTCCTTTTGGGGGTCTCTGAGCTACTCCCCTATCGTGCACCGGCAGGGCTGGGGCATCAGCCAGGCGAGGAGACACTCACGACAGGGCAGGGAGGAGACGGGGTTTATTGTGGGTTTAGTATCTGTGCATGGGTTATACACGAGCTCTCTGCAGCCTCAGAACGGGGGAGGCCAGGCCGGGCGTCGCAGCCCCGCGGGATTCACCGGCTCAGGAGCTGAGCAGACGTGGCCCAGGAACATCTCGCTACGGGCGGCTCCTGCTCCCATCCAGGGGGACCTGGCTCCTATCAGGGGGGAGGCTCCTGAAGCTGAGGGGGAGGGGGCTGGCTCCTGGGCTCCCATCGCTGGAAAGGGGAGTGGGACCAAAACCGCATCTACCCACTATCCGCTCCTGGCCCTGGGGCACCTGGCCTGAAGCTCCCTTTGCCAGAAGTTCAGGTCCTCAATTCCCCATCCAGCCGCCTTCAGCCCCTGCCTACCCCCGACGTCAACCTGGGAGCCCCTGGCTGTCCTGGCAGACCCCCCTGGAACAGCAGCCTCTTCAGAGCGAGTCCCCTCCCCCCACTGCCCTAGAGGCATCACCCCTTGCCCCTTTCATGTGGGGTCACCAGCCCCCCAGCCTGGGAGCTGGAGCTGGTCCCAGCTCCAATCTGCTTTGGGGGCTGCACCCTGGACCCCCACCTGGGGGCAGGACCGGTTCCTTCACCCCGGGCCTTGGCCTCGGCTCCCTCTGGGACGGGGGCTGGCACCTGTGGAGGGAACACACACAACGGCCTCACGCAGCAGAACCGGACTGGAGGGGCGAGGGGAGGGCGGAGCGTGACTAGGACAGAGCCTCCCTGGGGTCCATCGCCCACCCCTGCACTGTGCCCAACCCCCATTGTTGAAAGAGCCCCCTTCTCTGCGGATCTGCGCCCCCCGATTCCCGAGCCGGCTGGGACTCACCTGGAGAGCCCCAGAGCACAGGGCCCAGGGAGAGCGGCTGGGCGCCTTGGCTGGTGTCCCCCTGCGCTGGCCAGACACCATGGGAGGGAGAGTGGGCGAGGGCCATGGGGGCTGGAGCCCAAACCCCCTGGGACCACAGCAGTCTCTGCCCCTCCCCACAACTCCCAGCAGCCGCTGCATTCCAAGGGGCCCCCACCATCGCCCCCCACACCAGCCCCTCTGTCCCCCATGCCCTGATGTGTACATACAGGGGGGTGGGGAGGGGCACAGGACCCGGCTCCCGCGGTCTCCTCCTGGTTCCTCTCTTGCTGTCTCTGGAAGAGGTGGGGGGAGTTACTCTCTGCATGCCAGGCCCCCTGCCCTGCTCCAAGGGCTCCCTTCCCTCACCCCGCATCCTGCAGCTCTGCCGTGCCCCACCCCCCAGGTTTGGGGCACCAGCCCAGGGAACTCAGGGCCCAGAGGGGGGATGGCACCCTGCACCCCACACCTACAGATCACAACACCCACTTGGCACCAGCCAGAGCCCTGAGGTCCCAGACCTGCGCCAGAGCCCCTGGCCATGCTAAAGTGGGGGATGGGAGGAGGGGGATCTCTTCCCGCGCCCCCCCCCCCCCGCTACTTTCTGACTTGTGCTCACCGTGTCCATCCATCTCTCCCCTCCCCCCACTGTGACTAGGGGTCTTTCCCAATTCATCAAATTTTCTAGGGAACCTTCCCATCACCAGAGAGCCCAGTCCTCCCTGCTTCCCTCCCCAGCCCCTCAAGGAACTCTCTGCATCCCAGGGAACCACCCCCACTTCCCTATGCAGCCCCCAATGAACACCGTGCACCACAGGGAGCCCCCCATTTCCCTCTCCAGCCCCCACAAGGAACCCCCTGCACCCCCAGGGAGCCCCCCCGGCCCCCAGGCTCTCCCACCCCAGGCCAGCACCTACCTCTCGCTTTTCAATCGTTTCCTCCGAGGCCTGAAAGCAGAGACACACTGGTAAGGGGGCTGGGGGGGCAGAGCTCAGCCAGGGACGTGTCTCACTGTGGGGGATGGTGCGCAGGGTATGGAACCCCCACCCTGGGGTCCTGGGGCTGGGACCCCGACTGAGTCTGGTGTGGCTCAGGGCCAGTCTGGGAATCAACAGCGAGTCCCTGGCGGGGGCTGAATGAGCAACGCAGATTCCCTCTACACCCACAGGCCAGCGTCCCCCGCACTGGCCACAACCCACCCCCAGCACATGTACCAGCCCCCTCCCCCTCACACAGACACTGCCCCCCCCCCCACTGGCCACACTATCCCCTCCCCCAGACATAGAATCATAGAAGATCAGGGTTGGAAGAGACCTCAGGGGGTCACCTAG